AGAGAGCGAACAAAACGAAGGTCTAATTGAATGATTAATTGTACAATTGCGAGAGAGCGAGAGAGCCTCGGTGTGTATACGTGCGAGCCGGGTTAAAATGGCAAACACACGAATACCTACGTTTACACATATACACACGAGTATACAGGGTAACAATGAAACGAGGCTTATCAACTGTTGCTGTACACACATACACACATGCTCTGCTCATTATAATCTCGCGTGTTTGTCCGCCGATCGAGTCCTCGACTCGGAAGGAGAAAAAAAATGCAGCAGTGCAGCGAGTGATAATCAAAATGCGATTATGAGTGCCATGTGTATGTGTGAGTGTACGTGCTTGACGCTGCTGCAAGCTGCCTTAGCTTGGTCGCTAAATTTTTCCTATTTAACGATCGAACCGCCACTGCTGCTGCACGTAGAGTTACGTGCGCGCTTGTGTATATATTTCAATGTCTTGCTCGATAAACTCCGACTCGCACTTACGACGTGAGCACAAAATGGCAACGGACACGAAAGAAATTTTTTAATCATTGCACACGGGATGAAAATAATTTGTTTTTCCTTCCTCGCTCTCTCTCTCTCTCTCTCTACCTCCCAACTCTCGATACGTTCAAGTCTTTTTTTGGATTTATGCATGTACGCGAGTGAGTGTAACCAACGTCGATGCTGGAAACTAATTAACCGGCATGATTTTAAGCTCTTCAGAAGAAATCAATCAGGGAAAATTTATATATCAGCCTAATTAGAGGATATAATGCACATTCAAGCCCACGGCGCGTACCGCGCGCGGCGGAGAGAGAAATTATATGAGTCGACCGCCCGCCCGCCCGCTCCGCTTCAAGCGCACACAACGCCGCAAGCTTCGACTGCCTTCGTAAGCTCGGCCGATAATAATCATAATAATTATCATTATTATTACGACGGGAGGTGCAGAAAAAATTACCTCACCGAGTGCGAAAAATCGAGTTCGTCTGATTGGCCTCTGCAAGCCTGCTCGCGCGCTCATAGCTTATGAATATATAGAAAAAAAACGACGCTGGTCGTTTTTATGCGCTCGCGGAGCAGAGATTGATTGCATTCCTAAATGTGAGCTCGCGCGCGGAGCGGAGAGAGGTGGTGGAGGGGAACGGCAAACAAATGACAAACTGTATAATAGCTGCAGCGCGTGTATTAAGCACGATTATAATTGCATCGACATCCGGTTGCAAAATAAAAAAAATTGGAGAGAAAAAAAAAGGAAAAAGAAGAAAGAAAGAGAAAAAAATCGCTTTTACAAGACTGTTTTGGACGCATTTTCATGTAAAAGTTGTGCATGGTTGTACGTGTGCCGTAATATATAGATGCATATAAAAAGAAAAGCACCGACAATCGCGTGGTAGCATATAGCCACCGCGCGTCAATGCAATTTTTGTCGAAGCGCCTGTGACGGGGCTGCCGCCTGCAGCTCTTTCGCATCGACGCGTTCCAATATTGTCACCGGCTTGCTGGTGCTCGGTTTGCACGACCGCAATGCAGATTATTTTTTTTCCACTCTCCCTCCACCCTCTCTTCTTTTGCACACGCGCTCAAATACGGTTCGTCCATTTAATGCACTTGACAATGCGATGCATGTATAATAATTCAATGCTGAATCGCGAGGCGCACGTATTCAAACCGAAAATAAAATCCAAATATGCACTCGATCGTGTGCTCAGCAAAAGAGAATATTTTGAGAAATGCGAGTCTACTCGTGTGTACTCTAGGTACGAGCGTGTCGCAGCTCGTTGCATCGAACTGTTTTAATGTGTACTTGCACTCGTGAGCTGTCACGCAGCGCCAATCGTCGTAAAAATGAAATTAAAATTGCTCGAGATTTTTCATTATTTTTTAACGCGTTCACTCGAGTGGAACATGTTTCTGTCTATTGCGCGATCTGCTCCATACTTCGTTAACTTTTCGAACTTGAAAATATATTTTTACAGTATCGGATGCTACGCTTGCTCGGAGGGATGATCATTCGATCTCTCGCGTTCGTGTAGGAGAGGTAAAATCTTTGAAACACATCAGCCTGCAACAGCAGATCATAATAATACATAAATTGCTCCATCAGAGAGAGACGCTCGTAATAAACGAGTGCGAGTGTGTATCTCAGCATCCTCTGTCCAGGATGTCAAGACAAAAGCGAGACCAGCTCGCGAGCAGCAGCAGCAGCAAAAAAGGGCCGCAGATGAAACAGAAGCTCGAATTCTTTGTCTGTGTGTATACGAACGTATGTATGTTTACGTGTGTTTGTACGTAGGTACGTATGTACGAGGCGACTTCCGGGCCTGTTGCTCCTTTACACGATGTACTCAATGGGATGATGCATCTTTCAAGGTAGCCTCGTTCGCCACAGCGGATTGTTTCATTTCATCAAGCGTAAAAAGAGAGAGAGAAAAACAGAGAAGTGTACAATCCGCGGCGGCGTGCGAACGTTATTACTGCTGCTCTGCGGAAGTATAATACGGGGGCCCTCTCCGAGCCATTCAGATTGTCATTTCGGGAATATCGGATCTCCTACGCTTTTATAATGTATAATGTGCGCGCGAGCATTAAACGTTAAAGCGAGCCTTTCATTCAAGAGAGCTGCACGAATAAACTTTATACTCCGAGACGTGTCCTTTTTACGCGCGGGTAATATGTGTCACACAGATCTATCTCGTCCGCGAGGATTGACCGTCGGATGTGTTTACGTCGAGGGTATCGAAATAACTGCACTCTCGTCCAGTTATATTTAGTTATTCAGCTAGCGCAAGGCATCCGAGCTCGACCAAACAGTGCTCGTGCTTCGAGACAATTGAACGTGATGAAAATTATTAGTCACGTAGGTTTTTTTCTTCCAGCGCTAAATGTTGATAAAACAAACAATGAGCTTTTTATTTTGCACCGCGAGGCAATCTTTTGTCGATAAATCGCGCGCGTTTGGAAAAGTTAAGAGCGGCAGGATACATATAGCATTCGGTGCAGCGTTTGTATATAATGCTGTGTGCATGTATACATGCGCCAAACGCTTTCACGCATACACGTACGCACGTGCATATATTGCCATTCACTAATTTTTTCGTAAGCCCATAATATACGTGAAAGAATGAGGCAGTCACGAGGCTAAGTACCCCTAATTGTCCTCTTCTTTCCTCTTCATCTCGTCTCTCTTTCTTTTCTTTTTTTCTCTCTCTCTTGCTCACCTATACGGCATACTCATACACCAACCTCTCTCTCTCTTTCTCTCTCCTTCTTTCCTTAGCGTGGCTTTATGTATATAGCGAGCGCTTAAAGTTTGGAGGGCTCAAATATATACACGTACGAGCTATTGTTTTCTCGCGACTCGAGACTCTCTCTCTCGCTCGTGGTTGTATTTACAAGTCAAGTCTTAACGGATTTTGTCTTACGAAACTGACTTTATGCACGACGAGGGAGAAAGAGGGTGAACACATATAATATAATATGCAAAATGCATAATTTTCCTGCCGAAAATTCTGCAAACGATGATGGATGGTGCCCGAATAAAAGCCCGATTAATTAATACATCGCGAGCTTTTGTGCAGCACGCGCGCTTTATCGAACTTTAACTTGTGTGTGTTGCACAGGACCCAGGCGAGCTTTTATCAAGATGTTTTGTCGCTGTCGCGCGCTTTGTTTCCCGCAGAACGTTTTTGTCAGAAAAAGAGGCAGAAAAAAAATTTTATTACCCTTTTTTCGGCAGCTCTTTAGATTCTGTTCGTTTTTTCGTTTTTTTTCATTCTTTTTTTTTAGACGCCTCGTCGCAAGCTCTTCTCCCTGTGAATTCTCACGGGCCAAGCGTTGGTGAAATTTCTCTCTTTTTCTCGTCGTCGAGTGCCGAACCCGAGTGTGTGTACGAGTGTACATGCGTGTGTGTTTGCCTGTATATCCAGCAAATTGAATTGCGACGCGAATTTTTACAATGCACCGTCGGGCTATTTGCTCTCGGTTGGATTTGGCTATTGTCTACCGAGTCGATCGAAAGCAAGAGAGAGAACGAGAGAGAGAGAGAGAGAGAGAGAGCGAATGAGTGAAAGAGACAGAAAGAGAAAGAGAGCGGCCGTTCATGTATGTTATGTAGACCGAACGCAGCGAGGGGCGTGACTCCGATGCGGAAAGCCACACTAACTAACGCTCTCGTCGACCGAGCGACAAGCAGATGTACCTTTTATAATACACTGACCATTAAAACAATCGTCCCAGCTCTCGCAGGCGGTTGCACAAGCACACAGAGGCTTTAGTATATACTGTACAAGGTAGCTATACGCTATACAGGCTCACCTCGAGCCTCGGAGAACAAAACGAAGAGCCGATGCGCGCGCGACGATACGATATGATGCTCCGCCTACTGGCAAATCGCTTTGTGGCATTAAAGCGATGTTCGTTTATTTGAGTGTGTGCACGAGAGTCGTGTGAGTGCAACCGCAAAATGCAGAATGATGTCAGTCACCCGGGCAGAAGGAGAGACATTTTTTCGCCTCGAACTACTCGTCGACTCTGCGAGAGTCGAGAGTGGGATATCGAAATTTTGGGGAGAGCTACGTGTGAAAATTGATACAGTCGTTAATTTTTTAATTACAGAAATTCGATACGTCAGTTACGACGATCGAGCGCGTCGAGGAACGGAAATTTTATAAGATCATAAATGCGGTATTATAAATCAAATGTAATATACGAGTCTTTGTCAAGCCCATGTAACGCAGATCGCACCGAGCATCGAGACCGCTCGCAAGCGCGCGCTTATGAATCATCGCGCGGGACTAACTTCGTGTTCAGATTATCGCTCGATTTCGCCCGTAAAGCAACGAGGGGCTGAACTTTATGAAAATTTCGCATTCGTATACTCGTGTATGATATACCCAAAACAAATATAAGCAAACGCGCCTGTAAATTACAGTTACATTCAACTACAGTAGTAGTAATTGTTTTTGCCGCTTTCGTATTGAAAACAAAAATCGATATGCATAGCTGGATTGACTCACCCTGTGCAAGTCTCCTAGCGATCGATTTAGATCTCATAGCTGGCTGAATGAAGCTTCAGTCGACGAGGACAACAGCAGGAGCAGCAATAGCAGCGGCAGTGGCAGCAAAAACAAATTATCACAGCCGAGCATGAACTCAAAATTTGTCTTACGATCCATCCGCGCACCACAAATCAATGTATAAAACCAAGTGTATCGAATCGCCCTCTATATTGGCTGCACAAGTTCGAATTGCAAAAAAAGCTCACAAAGCTGGGTACGTATCACTGGCACGCGTCGAACAACAATCAACCAACAAGAAAAGAAGCGAGAGAGGAGCAAAGCTCCGAGCTTGACTCGGCGGAAAGAGACAGACAGATGAACTTGCATATAGAGATTCACGCGCACTGCAGCAGCCGCAGTAATTTTAAGCACCGCTCGCGCGCCTCGCGTGTGTATACGTGTTGAGCAGAAGCCAACAATGATCCTCCTGGCTCACTGCTAGAATAGACGTACACTACGTGCACACAAACCACCACACGAGCGCCGTAGTCCTGCGAGTCTCTCTCTCTCGCTCTCTTTCTTTCTAACGTCGTCGGTGCCTTGCGCGCGCGTGTGTCCTCCTAGTGGTAGTACGCGGGAGAAGAGTAAGCGAAACTCGGCGAAAAGTTCTTGGTCGTCGTCGTAGTCGTCGCCGTCGTCTTCTCCTCTCTTTCTCGCGTCATATAACGTGTGCTCGTCGTGGCACTGCTCGCTCTTCCCCTTGACGGGCGCGCGCGAATATTCTCTTCCCCTCTTCTCGCATCCTCCTCTCTTCCTCCTCCTCTTCCTCCTCCTCCTTCTCGTACGCGGCGGTGGCGGCAGCGACGCCAGCAGCGGCGGATCATAATCTGCGGCTCGGGCTTCTCTCTTTCTGCGCTCTGGGACGCGCACAACTCCCACTCGTTCTCTCCCGCTTCGTTCCTGCGGAGAGAGAGAGCTTCTACGCCACTTTCCCCTTCTACTGTGTAACCCGACGTCGACGACGACGACGACTTCTCTGTGCCTCGGCTTGGCTCGAGAGCTCGCTGCCACTGGCACACGCGTATAATAACGCTCCGAGCTGGTCTACCTGCAACTATGCGAGCTTGTCTGCGTGTACGTGTGTATACGATGGATGTACACGAGTGCCGAGGTGTGCGTTCGTAGGTAGCTCTGCTTTGCTCTCTCTCCTCTTCCTCCCGCGACGACAACGACGACGACATCGACTGCGCTACGACGATGTGCCTCCGCAAGCAACCCCACCAACAGCTGCTGCTACTGCCGTTGTCCGCCCAATGATCAGAAGCTAGCTCCGTGTATCAGTCTCTACAGCGTCCGCCTCTCTTTTTCTTCATCTTCAAGCTCTGCAACACGACTTCTGAAAGCTCCGCTCTTTTTTCCTCTCTCTCTCTCTCTCTCTCTCTCTCTCTTTCCCTCGAGCTTCTCTATCCCTCTAGCTGCAAGATCAATTTTTGCGCTCTTTCCCGTGCCGTGCTGCGGTTACCTTTGAAAAAAAAACTTTTCTTTCCAGGATTTCAGCTCGTCCGCAGCAACGACGAGGAGTATGGATATGTTGAGCCTCGCTGTCGTGGTATAGCACACGAAACGTATATGAGTATACATGATAAATACTTGCCGCGACATCGGTTGCGGCAGTCGCGCCACGGCACGAACCACGGATTTCGCCGCTCGCGCACCCTTTCGACGCGCAGCCCCGCCCTGTGCATTTACGAGTGTGCAGCGAGGTTCTGTTGTGCAGTTATGTAGCCCGCGACGTCGCAGTGATTCACTTTTTTCCAAGCACGCGCGTGCCTTTCCCCCCAGGAAAACAAAGAAACTCAATTTGTCTTTCTACGTGTGATGTTCGATCGAGTTATAAATTGATGTATGCTTAAATAGAAGTCAGATCCTAGCTAGTTTTTACTTGTATAAAATTATCCCAGTAGTAGCAAGTAGTAGGATTTACAGTTTATTGATGGGAACAGCGTTTGCATTCTACAAGTAAAATACAGTTATACTTTGGAAATAGAAAAATAAAAATTTAATTAGTTGAAGTAAACGTCAATTTCGAATAAACAATTTAATAGTTATCCAAACTAATAAGTTGACATGAATTTTTCATACTAACTGTATAAAATAAAGGAATTTTACCGCATGAAAAAAAATGTCTATAAACTTTAGACTGTAAAATTAATACGGAAATTCTATATTGACTTATACTTTTAAATATATTTATTATTTTAAAAAGATAATGTCAGCAAGAGTCCTGTGACGAGCAAAAGTAAATGAAAATAATTTTAATCGGTTTGCAAACTAGTCAGATTTTCCAGAATTTTATCGCTATTATCAGAGTCTATAAAAACCTATAAATCATAAAAACTAACTTTAACATCATCGTTTTCATTAGGAAGACAAACTCGATTTTGGAGGGCAGCAAATAATTTTCTCCAGATCGGTTTTCGCTCCGGTAATCCATTTATTACACATCACTCGGTGCAAGCGCTCGGTACGCCGCGTACGGTCGCGTCTGAGTAAACCGACACCCACTCGGGCATTTATAACTCGCACCCACACATACATAGACCAGCCTATACGTGCGCGTATTTTATTTTTTGCTTTCTTCTCTTTCCATCTTTGCGAGTTGCTGCTGCTACTGCTGCACTCATCTAGATGGGCGCAGGAAGAAAGAGACGTGCGCGCATTGGTATATTAGCCGCATACCTCCACAACGTTTGCCGTATAAATATATATTCTTACGAGTACCGAGAGAAAGAGAGCACATACATCTGTCTGTCGCGTGTTTCCTCTTGTTGCTCCTGCGACAGAAAGAGCTACAAAAAATGCGGTTGAACTTGATGGACCCGTCTTGATTATTATTATTTTTTCTTGTTAAAGGTGAAGATTAGTATTCCAAAAATCGTTTTTTATTGTAAAAAAAATTAACTTTCACATTCGATTGTGAGCTTTTTGATTCTATCAACAGATGGAGTATTGTAAACGTGCAAGTGGCAAAACGTTTCCGATTATATAAATTCATTATGCTGTGCTGCAGTGTTTGGGCGTGTAATTGTTAATCTTCTTAGCTGAAATATAAGCTGATAACACATTTAGTTTAATAGTGGTGGTGCATCCAGTGTACAACCTGGTGTTGTATGTAGCGAAAAAATCTATCTTTCCTGGAAAAATGTATTTTTCCACGAAATTTACGATTGTATGTTTCTGTATTCTCTGATTGAATGTATATAAACATAGAATCGAAAAAAGTCGGTTTTATTTGGTTTTATTTGATTTTATTTGGGTGGGGGGGATTGGGTGGGTGGGATTTTAGGTGGATTTTAGCCTAAACTTTAATCTTGAGTGACAAATCCAGAGTTGTGAAAAAACCATGGAGGGAGATGGCGCAGCTGTCGAAAAATGAGAACTAGACGATTGCCAACTCATGAGATGATGCGTACGGGTTTTGAATCTTGTTATTGGTTAAACACAAAATAAGCCACAATAAGAATTATAAGTTTATAAATAATTTTATAATATATGGAGATTATTAATAGTATTATTGTATTTGCAAAATGATTAAAGAGTCTTTATTTTTATAAACTATTGTTTAATTCGTAAAGACATAAGTATGATTGATGAGAACTACGATCGAGAACTTCTTGAAAATTTTCGATTATTTCAACAAATTAATCATCATAAAAAATCCAGTTTTTTTTTGTTGAATCATGGACGTACGCAGTGTAATGTCCACTATGGACATGTGTCCCTTCGAGACAAATGATTCCAATAAGAGAATAATTGTTTTCTCCAATGTTATCTCTGAAAAAATTATTATAAAGATTTAAGTTGAAAGTATTATAAACTAGTCTTAAACAATAAAATGTGTACTTACACAAACAAAGAATCACAATTGATAATATCGAACATTTTCACTCGATTATTTCGATTAAATAATTCAAGTCCAACATTAATATATCGGCACACAGCAAACAATAAATATGGCTGAGATTTTTAAAATTAGCTCTAATCGTTGTATGCAAAGTTTTTCTTTGGATTATCAGACAATCTAAGGATGATATTTTTGTTTTAAATAATTGACTGACTAAATTATTTAAATTTTGATCATTGTGGCCCACATTTTCGTTGGAATACAAATCCAAAATAAATCCTGTATCTTCAATTTTTTTTTCTTTTTGACAAAACAAACATTGATACGTTTCTACCAAGCAATAACTGAAATCCTCAAATGCTGGAAAAATAGCTTCAAAGTTTATACTTAAATAATGAAACAAGTTCATGATAAAAGCATGCGCATCTTGTTGTTGGTTTGAAACAAAAGAATCATTTAAGACGTTTAATGATTTTTTTAAATTTCTGGAAACAATGATGTAGTTAAATAAAATTTATTGAAGTTTTTTATTAGTGTAAAAATATATGGGCGCGATGGTAAAAAAAATTTTTTTTCTTAAATTATGTACTTTTAAAGAGTACATTGAAAAGTGAAAATCCTGAAAGTTTCAGCTCTTTAGGTCCAACCGTATTGGATTTTCAGGGTCTTAAAGTTGAATTTTCTTTTTCTGCCCATATTCTGCTAGCAATTCTGATTTTCTGGGGTTAATAGGAAAAAATTGTTGAATCATGGTTTTTAATGTAAAATTTGATGTAGAATTCAAATTTGTACTTAAAAATCATATTAAGAAGTGGAGTCCCCATAAAAATGATATTTTCATGCATTAATCATGTTACTGTGCAAAAATAAACATGTTCGTATCCAGCGATATGGCCAATATTGTAATATGTTCATCGATACATCAAATTACAATTTCTGATAAATTTTGGTTATCGGCAGATAAACAGAATTCATTATTGAGCTTAATATGAGTCAAGAAACATGGTTTTTCTCTAATTTTCCTTGATTTTTGACTCATATTAAGCTCAATAATGAATTCTGTTTGTCTGCCGATAACCAAAATTTATCAGAAGTTGTATTTTGGTGTATCGATGAACATATTACAATATGGGCCTAATCGAAGGATACGAACACATTTATTTTAGTACAGTTATATGATTAATGCATGAAAATGTCATTTTTATGGGGACTCCACTTCTTAATATGATTTTTAAGTACAAATTTGAATTCTGCATCAAATTTTACATTAAAAACCATGATTCAACAATTTTTTCATATTAACCCCAGAAAATCAGAATTGCAAGCAGAATATGGGCAGAAAAAGAAAATTCAACTTTAAGACCCTGAAAATCCAATACGATTGGACCTAGAGAGCTGAAACTTTCAGGATTTTCACTTTTCAATGTACTCTTTAAAAGTACATAATTTGAGACAAAAATTTTTTTTGGACCATCACGCTAACTATGGCTTAGCCCATATACTTACGTCAATATTTTCTCGATTTTATATACACCGAAAATTTCTAATTCTAAGCACTTTTTCAATGCTTTAATATTCGATAATAAATTATCAACGTGATCAGAGTTCATTGTTTGCATATCGAATATTGGTAATTTCACAAGAAACCGTAGA